GTCATATTGCATACACCTTAATAAGTCAAGAGGAACTTATAAGAATAATATCAGTTGAGTGCCGTACCAGCCTCCACAAGGGAGGTAACTCAAGCTCCACAAGGGAGAAAAAATAATAATAATGATGTCCTCCGACTCAAGGGAGGCATTCAAGTTATAATCACGGTGTCGTGGGGGACCTTGCAAACCCTCACGTTCCGATGATTGCGCGCAAGTGGTACGAGCACTCTGGCCCATCAGTAAGAAAGATAAGATAAGATAATAAGATTCTGATAAGACATCATAATTAAGCATAATTGGCTCATGCATATTTATTCATGTGAACTTACAGTTGTTTTGCGGGAGATAGTTCCTACTTGCTGAGCGAAAGCTCATTATAGAATGTTTATACTGTAGGTAAGCAACCGGCATATAATGCCTGATGGACTGCTGGCGAGTGGACGAACGAGGTGGGGCTCGGGATATGGATACCACTCGCAAACATTTCCGCAATAAGCTTTATGTTACAAATAGTTTTGTTAATTATGATTATGAAACAGATATGTTAAGGTTTGAATATTTACATAATACTAATCAAACTAACCTCAAAATACACAAAACTAACATAAAACTCACACACCCTTATTACAAACTTATTTCCTCAAGAACCACAAATTACATCCATGATTTACAACTTAAACTTTGGTAGAAAAATATAGGAAGGTTTAGAGTTTATACCCTTGAAGAAGATTTTTGGTTAGGCTCCTCCTAGAACACTTTGATCACCTTCTTCTTCCTCTAAGGTTTGCTAATGACTTAGAATTAGAAGAGTGAAAAAAATTTGAGAAGAGCATTTCTAAATCCCAAATTTTACTAGAAATAAGAAAGAGAAGGTTTAGAGTTTTACTCTTGAAGAAAATCCTTAGCTAGACACCTTCTAGAACACCTTTGTCCCTTTCTTCTTCTTGAGATCCTAGACTAGTGCTTTGTGTTTAGAAGGATGAGTGAAAAATTTTGAGAGGGAACAAGAGCGAGGTGTGGCTGGTTGGGGTGTAGAGAAAGAGGGGAAATAGAGCTAAAGTGAGGCCTTGATTAAGATGGTTCTATTTATAGACAATTGGGTAATTATGTTTAACCCCTTAATCAACTTACTTAATTAACTAAATTTGGGTTAAAATTCCTTTAACCATGGCCGGCCAAGTGAAGGAAAGGAGAGAAAAAAGAATTAACATTATTACTCTTCACCTACCCCATCAAATCACATCTCATCCAACCAAGTCTTAACCTACTATTGTACCTTTGTCTCATCTCTTAAGTTTCTCTTGAAACAGATAAAAATTATACTGACTGTAAGGAAGTAACTTAGCCGACATGAAGTTTTAGTTTCCGACGGCTCCTTTTCTACTGCTCATTTACAGTTCAATATTAATCCTCACTACTTCAATATCACATTAAATTTTTACTCGCGTAATATTTCGAACTGTTTTAAGTCTTGAAATTTGTTCTAGACTAAACAAATTTTAAACTTAAATTTTCTGCATTATATTCCGGGAATGACATTGTTTCTGACGGTGTCAACTCCCAAACTTACATTGAACCCTTCTACTATAAGTATTTTTCTCGTGACTTCAACCTAACTGTTCGACAATTAATGATTTTTTTTTGTACGCTGCTAACATCGAATTGTATTTGGAGACTTTTGAAATTAAGATTCTCAAACTGTATATGTACTGAAAATTCTTCCGCCTTAAATTACGGTGAAAATTTATCGATCAAATCTATTTGATCGTAAAACAGAACTTAGCATGAAATCTGCTACAGAATTTATGAATATTAATATTAATTCCATAAATCATTCAGTCACAAATTATAGCATAATATTTTCTAAGAAAATTCTTAACTTAAATACATAAATTATATTATTAAAAGTCTATGATTTCTCAGTCATTACACACCTCCCAATAAAACATCTCTAACATATAAACAATCAATTAGAAATTGAGAAAGTACAAAACAAAGAGGGTGTGGTGGGGTTTTGGGAGGAGGTGTTTAATCCCGCCCGGGGTGGGGGGTACGTATTTATGATGGAAATCCGCCTCATGAAGTTTATACTCACGTTCGCTAGAGTATGAACCATGAAGTCTAGAACAAAGCGAATACATGGAGAATACGGGGAGAGGCTGGGCTTAAATGCCAAAAGAATGGACTAATTATGCCTTTTCTAGGAATCTAACGGGCATATTCTGTTATTTCTTTAAATAGGTAGGTTGTATTCCAAATTAAAAAAAAAAAATCCACACACCAATACATCTCTCAAAAAAAAAAAAAAAATACTAACCTCGATACAGAAAGACATTTAACCCGTCAAGCAACTGCTTCCACTACTATAATTATGGAGTGACATGTAACATGAGCCTATTTTCTTCAATAGAAAAAAAAAAAAAAAAAAAAAAAAAAACCAAAGAGGCAAAGGCAAACCAAGTACGGCTCTTCAACAGTTAATGGAAAGCTCCAATCGGTCAGGAGAAAAGGAGCTACAACACTGATGCCAGTACAAATACCACAGGAAAGCCTTAAGAGAATATACTACATAACACTGAAGCGACAGAAATCTCGTTGCGTTTTTAGACAAAAGCAAAATGAACAAGCTCAGATATCACCACGATTTGAAGAAGAAAAACACAATCACCACCAAAGGACTTCCTCTCCTCGTCCTCTGCTAATTGATTCCGAAGTAGTTGTGACCTTAGTCCAAGAAGGTCTAGAATTGCAAACTACGAACTTGCGCCCTCACCTAGTCGAGCTTCCTCCGCCGCAATATCCCTAACCTGGAACTGTGCATCGCTACCAACGGCCAGCCCTAGATCGGTGCCAAACTTCGGCCTAAGGGAAAAATAAGAGGGGGATGGCATAGTAAGAACCTTACAAGACCCTAACGGGGAGAGGGAAAAAATTAATATAGACTTTCGTTCGCTTCACATGTTTTCTGTCATAAATATACTCAACTTTCCGCTACAATATGCTTTCTCTCACGTAAATTCAATATTCAACACAAATTCTTAATTATTATTTCATATTCCTATGTTTATATCCCATTAAAAGATAAATTCAAATATTTGAATACATATTTGGATAGTTATGACGTGAAGTGATCCCCATCTTATATTTATTTGATCCCTATCTTATGGTTATTTGCTAACTGAATTTGAATATTAGGACCTTCTAGAAGATAACACATCGCTTTGTAATTATCTGTTAATCAGGAATACCACCGCCTCACCCTTAACTTATTTTTCAGAGGGGCGGACTAAATAATCTTAATATCTTTTCATGAAAAATAGTATATACAAATCGAAATTTATCATGAAAGTTATTATTAATATTATTATTTTTCTTTTAGAACGGATCATGATGAAAAGCTATTAGACGTATATATGATCCAATTTTGAATACAAACATTTGACTACACGTGCCTCTAATCAAGAGTGTAGAATATATATATATATATATTATTTTAAATGAGTGTTGGAATAGTCCTAATTCATTAATGTTTAGCTAGACATAATGCATTCAATTTACCAAAAAAAAAAAAAAAACTCATGATATTTTCATAAAAATCAAAGTTTTATTCTTTATGTAATATATATATATATAATGCAACGCTTTGGCTGCAAGAAAAAAATGACAAACGTACATATGCCGAGGTTTGCAATCGTATTCCTTCAGAGGAGGAAACAAAAACTGTAAAACCCATAAGATATAAAACTAGAATTCCTCCACTAGCAAATTAAAAAAAAAAAATAAATTGTACTAAACTTTGCGTAAATTAAGAAAAATGACATTTATTCTTAACAATATAAAACCCCAATCACTTATAAAATGGTGTGTCCTACCTACTCTATCACGAAAAATAAAAGTTTTCTTAAATTAATTGTTATGTTTCTTTTTGGACCATTACATCCATACATTTCCCTATGTGCAAACACGGGATCTCAGTTACAAGATTGAATTGGTAAAAAAGAAAACTACCTGAGACACGTTAGTAATTTTCAGTTACTAAAATATTCTCCATATCTGATATCTATCCTAACAGCATTTTTTTAAAATTTTTTCTTTAAGAAATAATATAAATAAATATATATATATATACACACACACACATTCAAACCTAGTTACAAAACTCAAAATACCAGTTTACCCCCACCCAAGTTTAAAAAAAAAATACCCAGTTAAAATTTAACAGATTCAAATAAGAATTATTGTTCTTCAAGCAAAAAAAAAAAAAAAAATCAGAGAATTATACATTATTGTTTTTGCCACTGGTTCTATAAATACGAGACTTGCAGATACGCACAGCATCAACGGATCTAAGGCCATTGAATAGGAGAACTTCACACTTGCTTGCTTGGTCCTTCTAGTTACACCTCATGCTTTCCCAACGTAAATCTCGCCACAACTCGTTCAGATCTCTGAACCCACATTCATCGTCTCCCTCACCAATCCCCTACTCATTTGTTGTCTTCGTCTCAATACCATTTCTACTAATATTTTCGGCTACCAATTGGTCTTCTATGACCATAAAAGGAGGCACAAGCCAGGCATGTGCAGCGTGCAAATACCAGCGGAAAAAATGTTCAAAAGACTGTCCGCTTGCTCCTTTTTTCCCAGCTGATCAACCCGAAAAGTTCCATTACGCGCATCGATTGTATGGAGTTCGCAATATAATGAGCATCTTGAAGGCGGTATGCGCAGAAAGCAAACAAGACGCGATGACATCAATCGTTTTTGAGTCGGCTATGCGTGCTCGGTTTCCCGTTCATGGTTGTCTAGGTATCATTAATCAATTGCAAACACAATTACAATATGCACTTGAAGAGCTCCATCATGTGCACACAAAGCTTGCAATTTGCAAGCAACAAGAAACCCCTTCCTCTAGTAGCCATGATCCTTCTCCTTTGCAATTAACAATAACTCCAAACACCAACTTTATTGATCCGAACCAACCCAGTTCGTCGAAAATGAGCATGCCTATGATTCTGAATTACGATTTGATTAATAATCGAATTAGTGGCATGTATTTGAATGCTAATTACGAAGGAAACAACCTAAAACCACTAATGATCCAAAACCCTAGCTTTAATAGTGATGAACCTCTTGTTCAATCTTCTATGTTTGGATCACAGGAATATCCAATTCAACAAGAATTGGATGTGTCTCAATATGATGATATTCCATTCGATCCAATGATTGATGACAGATCACAGGAACCTTATGATTCAAGGTATACCTATTTGAAATGGAAATCTTTCATAAATAGTTAGTTTTTTTAAAGCAGTATGTGAAAGAAAAACATAGTAATATAATTTTTCCACAATATTATTTTGATTATTTGTTGCAGTGGGGAGCAATCATTGAAGAACAAAATTGTGGAAAGCGAATACAATATTTCAAAGACTGATCTAAGAGATTCTACAACATCTGTTTCAAAGACCGAGCTAGCAAATGCTGCTGCATCCTTCAGTTTAACGAGAGGACACTAGACTTTAATTTGAATGGGATTCACAGCTTGATGATCAGCACTGCAGAAGTTAGTTTTTATTTGTTCATATTTTTTATAGCACTTCTTAGATTTTGCATTTGCAGTTCCTTGAATAATACTTGTGTACATGTGCTGTACAGCAAAACTAATAATTCTTTTCATTTATCGTTTTTGATTTTTGATTTTAGATTTTAGATTTTTGACACTCTAATTTATACAGATATAGAGATTATTGAGTGTCTAGGAGAAATTGTTAGTTCTTTTTTTTTTTTTTGAGAATTTTTTGAGAAATAATATGTAGCAAGTTGCTACCCTTTTTTGTTTGTTTGTTTATTTTTTTTTTGTTTTTGTTAATCGAGATTTACCAGTATTTAACAAAGATTTACAAGATTGTGTTATACTCATAAATCTTGGATTAATCGGTGATTTACCAAACCTTCAACAAGGATTTACCAAATTGTATTCTATTGGTAATTCTAGGATTTTGTTTTCCTAAATCATGTATTTACTAGTAAATCTGATGTTTAGAGATAAAAACAATGTTAACTCCGTAAATAGTTCATTTAGGGCGCATTTGGTATGCAGTAATCTTAAGAATGAGAATGATAATCTACAATATTACCATGTTTTGTGCAAGAATTATAATTTTTAGATTCTCAGGAAAGTGATTACCATGAGATTCACTTTCCCTCATTTTAAGGTAATTTAAATTCCACCAAATATGGTGTTATTTAAATTCCCATGAATCTCAAAATCATGAGAATCTTACCCACACACCCAGTGCAGTTTACCACCACTGAGCATCTCCTCCTCCCTGTCGTAGTTGCCGAGCACCTCCATCACAGCCACTGTCCAAGCTCGTTGCCGTTGCCGGAGTTCCCCCATCACCGCCATAGATGCCGAACAACCCGCCATCAAACTCATCGCCGGAGCTTTCCCATCCCTACCATGGTTGCCGAAACCCCCTTCCCCCTACCAAACTCATCGCCAGAGCTCACCCATCTTCGATGACGACCTCTGCGAAGCCACCGCCCATCACAACAACTCTTCTCCGTCGCTCACCACTCTGTCGCAGGCCCCTATCCCCCGCCCACACGCCGTCACTGCTCCTCCGACAACGTCATTGCTGGCCCTCTTCGCCCCAACCCCTCCCAAATCAGTCGACACCAACTCACTTCCCCTCCCTCTGCACACCCATCGCTGGCTTAGCCTCCACCTATTCCAAGAAAAAAAGCCGGCCATGTCCGATTTGAGCAAGAAGAAAGAGGCGAGGTAAGGCCTGTTTTGAGCGAGAGAGAGAGAGAGTTTTTTTTTTTTAGTTTGTTATATTTTTTAAATCTAATGTGTCAAAATTATAATCACTTAATTAAATAAATAATTTAAAATATTTAATTTTATAAGAAAAATTACGTTACATTATTGTGCACAACTAAACACCGTAAAATAACATTCTTGAGAATCTGACAAAAGATTCATACGCATAACCAAACATGATAATGTAGGTTTCCAAGAAATCATATTACCCACCATCACTTTCCCATATATTTAATTTATATTGATTACTGCATACCAAACGCCCCCTTAGACTTTTAGTTTACCTCATAAATCCTAGTGAATAAATATTAAATTTACTCGGTAAAATATTCTCTAGATTTTTAGTTTACCTCGTAAATTCTGTATTTATTTGTAAATCCAATAATTACATCGGTAAATACTTTATTGATATTGTTCTACATATTCTTAGTTTACCTAATAAATTCTGTATTTATAAGAAAATATGGTTTTAAAATTTTAATTTATTTGGTAAACAGTAAACTGGATAGTTAGGGATAAATAATTCCTTTACCAAGATCACAAAAATATTATTGTCTCATAAATGCAGTATTTACTTGCTAAATACTTTATTTATCTTGTTATTTAAATATTTAACTTATCTCGTAAATCCCGTATGGTTCAAAATTTTTAATTTATTTAGTAAGTTCAGTAGCTATAAATAAATAATTCATTTTCAAAATAGCAATAATTATTACTATTGGCTCGTAAATACAATCTTTTTCCAATAAATACTTTATTGAGCATGTTCTCTAGATTTTTAAATGCACCTTTGGATCCTTATCAGATCTACTCTAGATTGTTAAATGCACACGGACAACATGGTTGAAGGAATGCTCTAATTTTCTCTCTTTGAATCTCTATAAATAAATAAATAAATAAATAAATAAAGGTCCTTAAGCCTAAAGGAATGCTCTAATTTTCTCTCTTTGAAGCTGTAAAAAGTGAGTCAATATGAAATAATTACACAAAATATCTACTTTACAAGCTTTGAATCTAAAAATGTGTATCCTTTAAAATTGTATTTATATGTACACTAATATTTAACACATTTTCTTATTATTTTTAGTATTTATATGTATACTTATATTTAACACATTTTCTTATTATTCTTATCATAATTATAAAGCTTCTATTTATATGATAGTGCTTAAATTCACATATTTAATTTCTTTTAATTATTATTATTTTTCTATTTCTATGCTCTTGTTTCCCACATATAATGATTTTTTTTTAAAAAGAAATCTTTATCATAATTACATTATCATAGAAGTAATGGTCCTTTTTCATATTTGGTTTCAAGATATTTTTTAAGGAGCTATTTTTATCTTTATGATCTTTTGAAATTTGAATATGTCCAAAAATTGAAAACTCATTTAACATTTCTTTTTATCATTTTGATTATTATCATAAAACTTCTATTCTTTAAGATTATGCTTATATTCAAACTTTATTGCACTTATTTAACACGTTTCCTTATTATTGTTTATCATTATTATAAAACTTCAGTAAGTTCAATAAAGAAGAAACGACAAACAAATGATAGAAGAAAACGATAAACGACAACGGATGAGGAAACAACAGCCTAGAAAAACGACAATAAAATAAGAAGACGACATCAAATGAAAGAAAATGAGAAAACGACAGTAAAGGAAACAGTAACAAACAAGCATATGGCAGTAAAAGAAAACAACAACAAAAAAAAAAAGAAAAAAGAAACGAACAGCATCACGAAAAAAAGATAATCATGGAAAAAAGCACAGTAAATAATGGAATGATATAAACGACACTAACTGATAAAACGACAGCGAGGGCATGAATTGAAGAAAAATAATCGACATGCGGTACTAGTTGGTAAAACAAATGAATTTTGGAAAAGAGAATAACGCAATACAATAAATGTACTATAAACATGCGAATAACCTATAAACATTACATATTTGTGAACCTATATAAATGGCATAAACAATAAAACGACAAAATCCTAAAACTACATTAATTGTTAAAAGGACAACCTCTAGTGGAAGAAAATAAAAAATTGAGCTGCATTTAAGGCTTCAATCCTTGAGGTGCATAGTTTACAGTTTTCAGTTACATCTGCGAGTATTTACCTTTGCTTCTCCTGGGCAATGGAAATGTAAAGTTAAGGCAAGAGGCCCACAACATCTCAAAATGATACAGTTGAACAAAGAAAGGTTCAACTTTGACACAAATAATTGTTTGTTTGTTTGTTTTTTTGTTTTTTTTATCCTGAGTACTAGAGCTTATGCTTTAGAGAAAACAAGAGAAGCCAAACAGGAAAAAGAATAAAAAGGAAAAGAAGAGCAGCTCTAGCAATGAATTTCCCACCCTTATACTGGTTGAGGTGGAAGCAGAAGGAGAAGGAGAAGGACCGGATTTCGGAGGAGCAAGACGACTGACATTCTCAGTGGCGCAAGTATAGTTGCAGCGACTAGGCCTTACTACCCTATACAAACCACTACTAGCCAGCATAAAGATGTCGTTTCTGTTATCCTGGCCAAAGGAGAATATGAAACCAGGTGAAAAGCCAGCGCTTCCAGCTTCATCACTGCATGGAATAGGAGAGTCCTGAGCACAACTGATGTTAAGTTTACTACTTGTGAAATTCCCACTATTTTTAGGACTTTCTGTTCCCGCCCATATGCCGGCGCCATACAAATCCGCATAAAGGTATCTGCAATATTTACAAGAAGACGTCATGAACTTTTTGGACTGAAATTGTTGTGAAATGGCTTCATGAGGAGAAAAAGTGAGGTTGATTTGTTACCTTCCATACAAGCAAGGATCGATCGTAGAGCGGTAAAAGTAGCCGCCTGTGATGGAAGCAGATCCTTCAGCTTTGTTGACATCAGAGTGGTTGTATCCCATTACGGGGAAAATTGGGTTAATGGAGCTAGAAGATGTGTTTCCTCCAGGAGATGTTGGCGGATTGTATAGAAAAGGACCCTCGTAAACACGCCATCCGTAGTTTCCTCCTTTGGTAACTATATCAACCTCTTCAAATACATCCTATGAGATTAAGACTTAAAGCATTAGACACTTTTGATAGAATTCCAGGAAATTAGCTGAAATACACGAAATAAAGGATTTCTTCAGGAAAATTAATATCGGAAATATAATCCAACCTGTCCAACATCCGCACAGAGGAAGTAAGAAGGCCTTTCTAAATCGAAGCTACATCTCCATGGATTTCTAAATCCTAAAGCCCAAATCTCAGGTTGCAATTCCTTGTCTTCAGAAAATGGATTATCTTCAGGAATTGAATAATTTCCCCATAGGTCTAATTCAGCAATTCTTGTTGCACCTGCAAATGATTACTAACAATGAAGAAAGCATACAGGAAGTGGAACTATATATTCTTTCATTTAACTTTTAAGTATGTTGTGGTTAGAAAAAAGAAAAGAACAGAAAATGGACAATCCACCTAAACTCTTGAAGCTTCAAAATTCGGAAGTATGTGAAAAGGAACTATTGAATGTTCTACCTAGAACAACAAATTTATGTCATAACACTCACTTGGTATGTTGTCTATGTCAAGTCTCATGATCTTTCCAAGCATGGATTTCTTGTTCTGTGAGAAGTTGTAAGGGTCACCTCTACCTCCACCATCTCCCATCATGAAGTACAAGTAGCCATCTTTTGGTCCAAATAGTATTTGCCCGCCATGGTGTGAAGTAAATGGAAGTCCCATTGTGAATATTCTCCTAACTTCTTGTGGTCTAACACTAGTACCTTAATCCAACCCCAAAACAGTGCTAATTAGAATCATCACTAGGTAATTGTTACAGAAGATAACTCTTGAAAAAAAAAATGCAGAAATTTTATACCATTAGCACTGAACTCTGCAATGACACTGTGATATCTGCATGGCTCAGATCCTTTGTCAAAGCTCAGCTTCGAAGGATCGCAATCCACGTCTGAATTACACGAACATCTTCCTGAACATTGCGGCCATTTGACCTTATCGCAATTGAACGAGGTGAAGAAACGGCCGTTCTTGTGAAACTTTGGATGGAAAGCTATTCCCATCATACCAAACTCGGTATCAGTATAGACTTCATCGGTTAAATCAAGAAAAGGGCTTGAGTCATCAATCACCAACTCTTCTCCAGACCCCTCCCCAGGAACAGTTGCCAACCAGATTTTGCCTGGTTGATTGGACAAGAACACGCGGTTAGACCCGTCGGGATGAGCCACCATATTAAGGTAAGATCCATTGCCAATTTTCTCAACGCATATGCCACTTGGGGGGCTTGAATTTTCAGTACTGTTATTGAGTTTCACTGGTTCACCATCAAAGCACACCAAACCATCATCGTCAGAAGATCCTCCAAATTCATTGCAGAAAGCGCTTTTCGACTTCCAAGTATCCGATAACTTGGAAGTAGAGTTAGCTGTCTTTCCATCTTGTGGATCAGCAAAGAGTGAATTCACCAAGGTCACATTTTGGCATTCGTTCCAAACTTCAGAACAAAAGTCTGTTGAATTATTCCGAGATTGCTGTGAGTCTGCTGAAACTGTGGAGTTACACAGAACAGGAACTTTCCGATGTTCTGATTCAACTCTGTATAGCTCTGCGGAAAAAGGATCACACCTCTGCCAATAATATCGTTATGTTATACGTTTGTCAAATAGTTTTAAGAAAAAATCACAGTATCAGCAATTAGCAACCAGCATAAATAAAAATGGAAAGGTTATTCTTTTGATTCATTTTGGGATGCACATATTGTTGAAAGTTTCAAGATTACAGAATATAAGCAGAAACCATTTTTCTGACTTCATATGTTTTATTTTGTATCAGTTCTTTCATTTTTTTTTTAGTAAGAGAAATTATCATTTTGGTATCTTTGTATTCCAATAATCTTTTAAGAGTACCCTCCAATCTAAATAAATAAATATATAAATCATCCAAGTATCTTAAGATCATTTTTTGAGGCATATAACCATAATTAAAAAGGAAAAAAAAAAAGAAAGAAAGAAAGAAAGAGAGAGACAGGAAGAACATTTTTTTAGAATTTATCTTGTGTTTTTTTTTTTTTTTTTCTTTCTTGATATGGTTTTCCACTAAAATGGCAAAAATCACATTTCATACCTCAAAAAAACAAAAA